GTCATCTCGTCTTATGGCCACGCAGAAATGCCTTCATTGCCGAATTATTTAATCACAATTTTAAATCAACATTCAGGATTGGCACAATCTCAGATTTGCGAGGTTTATCTGTAAATTAATACAGACACCATAAAAAAATTATAAATGGTAATTATCGTCTTAAATATCTGCATTCCGGCATCGATAATAATAATACTATTCGCTTAAAATTGGGACAGTAAATTTACAAACGTTGATAGGTAATATCAAGTCAACGCAAATGTTTATTTTGGTTTTGAAATTTGTCGTTAATGCCCTTAACAGCTGTTGCCGATGTGAACGCACGCGTAAGCCTGGATTGCAAAACCCAGGATATAGTCGCCAAAACGATTGCGGTGACAAAAACAATTAGCTATTATAACGAAATTAACCAGTAGAAAAGGCTTCCTTGCTAATTTTTCGACCGACGTTCTAGACTCATGCTGTGCATAAAAATATTCCTTATTCGTTAAAAATATTCAATTCGAAAAAATATTCGATTTTGCCCACCCCTACTCGCATATTAATGAGGAAATAGTTTAGATTGATTTTCGACCCTGGTCTGAGTTTGATTTATCGTGAATGACTAGACTAGCTAATACTGAATATCGCAAAATTCCGCGAAACGCCATTTGCTTTTAACATTCGTGGTTACAATAAAATGGCTGTTAAATGTTAATACGACGAGGTATGTATTTTGTCAATTTGGCGATTTTGCAAATCTATGAGATGCTGCTAAAAGTTTCTTCTAATTTAACAAACAATGGCCCAAGTTTACATTCCATTACTAAACAATGTGGTGTCGAGTATCAGAAATTTCTGAATGGCTCCAGTAAATTCACGAAGAAGAGAACACAGACCTGTCAAACCGGTACTAGAAAATCGTGTACTTTGGTCACAATTCATCGATGTCATCGACAGTCACATGACCACTCTCGTTTAGAGAAACGCACTGCCTTGCATTCGGACGTCTGGTTTCAAAGACGCCGCCGAGCGTTTTCGCGGTGGAAGCGGAATCAGTGTGCTTGTATAATAATCATATTATAAACTAGAATTTTGCCATTAATGCAAAAGCTTTATCTTCCATGTCTTCACCACATAGGTTAGAATTCCGGTAAATATCGTTATGATATGCAGAATTGAGTTACAAAAGTACTAGTATGTTACTTATTTGTCAACTTAATACGCACAGAAAAATATTTGTCAACTTTGAATTTTTATTCCATTCAAAATCGAAAAAAAGTGCTATTTATCTTCAAAATCGAAAAAAAGTGCTATTTCGCAGTCCCTAAAAAAAGTTGCGAAAGTGCTTCGCAATTTTCGCAAAAAAGTGCGCTAATAGTGAACACTGCTGCTGACCGACATTGTGCTCGATGTTAGGTACGCACACGCTTGCCATTGCACCTTTGGTTACCTTGTGCCAGAGGATTGCTAGGGTAGGTAATGTAACTGGCCAGTTACACCTTCCTCCACTATCAAATCCATGCATATGAAACAGACCAACAGGCTGCGGCGCCATATAATTAAAGCCCAAACGCAACTCAGAGTTGAAGTTAAGTATAGTCAATGGAGTTCAAGCAACCCAAGAAAATTTGGGTTGTGCCCCATAGGATGGGAAACACTGCTCTAGATGACACGCTTTTCATTCATATCTATCTTATTATCACTCTTTCATAATAGTAAAAATATTATTTATATTCGCAGGGGTAGTGGTGGAGGAGCCACTGTAAGACAACGACGTGCGACACCTAATGCTCGTTCCAAGGGATCCGGGGGGACAGCTGCTAGTACTGCTGGCTCCACCATGTGGAGGTTTTACAATGAAGATTCACCCGGTTTGAAAGTGTAAGTTGTAGTTTTGTGTTACTTGACTTTTCTTACATTTTAAAAATTTCACTCTTGAGCAAGGCTCTGTGTGAGCTGTCACTAAATGTTGGCATCTACTGTTTTAAGGGCTGCGATCTTTCTGGTTTAGAAATGCCTACCCAATTTATTACACCCCGAGTGAGGCGGTGGGTGCAACATTTTTGGATAGTGAGATGCCCCAACCATTGAACTCAACAGTCTGAAAACCGAGCAATCCTGCAGAATTGCTTTTGAGTCTCTCAGTATTGGCAGGGCCCAGAACGAATGAAATACTTGTAAATGATATTATTAAATCTGAATTCTTGAGTTGGGGCAATATACCGTCATAGTATGACCATGGAAGCCCTCATTCAATTTCATAAAATACTTAATACCATACCCATTCAAAGCAAACAATTGAATATACCAATGTGTTGTCCCATTAGCTTTCTGTCCCTCAACAGACCCTTCTGGTTATAGCAATCCTCCTTATCAGCTTTCTCTTCTCAGATAAATATCTATTCCGTTCCTAATCAGTAGATCTCATGATAATGCAGTTTATTATCATGTTTTATCTCTCGAATAAATATATAATCTAATCCTTATTCAGAGGTTCTCTGATGCCTTATCAACTTTCCAGCCATGGCCGATCAGGGGAATTTTTTCATTCATCTTCCCCCTTTGAAACAAATACTTTTCTTTACTCAACCCAACTTTTTTCAGTGGCATTTTGGTTAAGCAGTTTATCAGCTTTTACTCGAAGATAAGTATAAAATCTTATCCAAATCCAGAGATCCTAATGATGTGGCCTTATTAACTTTTCGTTCCGTCGTCTAATCTATAACTTTTTTTTTCAGTGGCCCAGTACCAGTTCTAGTGATGAGTCTCCTATTTATTGCATCAGTCTTTATGCTCCACATCTGGGGGAAATACACTAGGGGTGGATGAAAGGAAAAACTTTTTAAATTTGTAAAAGATTTATGGACAATTTGGCAGTATGCTGCTTCTTATGGGAGGATACAAATTTTAAGGACTTAAAAAAAAATGAGATCGGGCACTTCACGTTATGAGAGATTGGACCAATTTAGGGGGTTGTAGTGCAATTCTATGCCAGGGTATTTGGAATAATAAATTTTTAAGTCATTTTTTTTAAAATTTGTCACTTTGAGCATTTATTACCAGATGCTTCAAACGAATTTTACAGTTCCCGATTATTATAAATACTTCAAATGCAGCCTTGGTCTTTAAGAAATGGGTAACAGAAAAATAAATTCAGTGGGGATATAATTGTAGGATAAGTTTTAGCCATGAAACACAAGGCTTAACTGTATCTAAGGAGCTGTCTCAGAGCTCATAGATTTGGCCATACAAGGTGTCGAAACCCTGTATTGTCGTGAGCATTGTTGCTTGTTTTGAACCTAAATTGCTTGGCTATCTTTCTCTCTCTTGTTGTACAGTATATTTTTCTGCTAAATGGTGTCAAATGTTTGATTGAAATTTAATGAGATGAAAATTTTAATTGTGATTTATGATGCGACATTGGGGGCATGATTTTTAGACATTGGTATTGCCACTCTCCTCCCTGTTCCTAATGCAGTTTACAAAGTCCATGAGATTCTTAATCGTTTGGTGAACGCAGCCTCTTGTCCAGGTCCCCGTCATACTGCAAACGAGTGTTTAGTCTGTGGAAAATGGTAAAGTGAACAGCAGTGTTTAGCAAAAGTCTGTTGGTTCAAGTCATTCTGCTTACATTACTTGCTTTGATAATTGGCAGCTTCAAGCAAGTCTTCCCGCACAGATCATCTGTTACGTAGACTGCCTTGTGGCAAAGTCCAACAACCTTTTTAACATAAGATCCCTGCATTCTATTCAATTATGGTGCGTCTACGGCTGGCCGGGATAGATATAAATGCTGATATGGTGGCTTGTAGTTGACAGCCTTTAATCAGTGTCAGGGGGACTAGCCAAGATATGTCTAGTAAGTCCCAACTTGAATACAGAACATCCGACTCTGGTTATATTGTTCTAGCTGTAACTTTGGCTGTGAGGTGAATTCGGACCAACTGCTCACAGAACGCAGCATTATAGTCTTGAAACTTAGCACAAAGCACCAGCTGTCTAGTTTCGGGTTCCTTTCAGGTTCTTGCAGTCTAATCATTGATATTGTAAATGGGATAGAATTTATGGCCCAGAGTTAACTCTTTGAGGAGCTGGGTATGTTAATATGGTCTTCCTCATTGTTATCTTGGTTGAACGGAAAGACTATGAATGACTGATAGTTAAACGGTTCTAATTGGATGAGGCAGGATGCCCTAACTGGCCAGAAGTTCCGTGATCTGCCTTACCATAGTGAGCAATGTTTTTGCCCACCTAGATTAGCAGGCCATGCAAGTGTGACGTAAAAAGTTTATGAAACAAATTTTTATTTACAGTAAATTACGGTACTTACAAAAGTGGAAAACAATAAGCCTTGTGCCCAACCTAAATTTAAATCTCAATCTCGACAAATTCCTCGAGCTAAAACATCACAATTTGGTATTAGTTCAGTTGTGGGATCTGGCAGTCCTCTCTCGCAGGATCCGAACAAGCCAATGCACCGCCAAACCAGCAAAATTCCGGTCCTTCCAAAAATAAGAGCTCGTCAAATATCATTAGATATACATGGCCTTGTTCAGAGAGGAAGGTGTGATAAGCATTCAATAAAAAACCTGACTAGCACTTACATCTACTGCACCAGTTGTCTAATCATCCACAATTTACAATGTCTCTGGGAATAATTTTTGGCCTGGTGTTGGTAACTCTGGATTGAAATCTTATCTGGGCCGGATATGATTGATTAGGAGTTTCCTGGGTATCCCGGGGAAGAAAGTTGATTGGAAAGCTTGTTATTTAGTAGCTGTATTCTTCCAGTTAAGAAAGTATTTTGATGGCCTCTACTTTGGGCAAGTCTATGGTAAACAAACAGATACTATGTCTGGAAGAACCTTTCCATTTCAACTCTTGCACCCAATTTATCACACCTTGGAAAAAGATTTAATTTATTAAAACTGTAATTTTACCACATCTTGGGTCAAACTTATCTAATAGCCTATACATGACTTCTTCATTGTGCAACCCAATTGAGAATATTGATGTTGAAATATATGGGTATTTACTTTTGGTTCAAAGGCTAAATGCTTTCTGCCTAATTCTGCTTTTACACTCCACAAGAATATGAAAAATGTACACTTTTCAGATAATTTGTTTTATATAATTTGCATTTTCATATAGGTAAAACCGCTTTACAATTGCAGAAAAAAATAAAGCAGTATCACAACTAATTTCTAATTCATTAATTATAGGTAAAACATCAAATGGAAAAGCGATCTGGCAGTTTTATTCAACTTTAGGGCTTGGCAGTGTGAAGGACCTGTACAAATATCGTCTCATATTTCTATCGGGCGTAAAAAATGAATTTAAGCGTCCACTGGATGGAGTTAGAACATTAGGGGATGAAGTCTTGTTTGGGGTCGGACTTTGACGATCGGGGGTGAAAGAAAATATGCGTTCTTTTCTTGGTGTTGACCATTTCATTCGCTCCTGTTCTGAAAACGCAAGAATCGATAGTTTCCATCTTAAAATTGCGGGAAATTTCGATGTTTCTAGATCGGTATCGCCAATTGCTATTAGCACATCACGGTCTAACTTTGTCGGAGCGCCCCCGGCAAGAAAAACATCGTTTTTTGTTGCAATGGCCGTGTTCTCTGTAGCATAACTGCTCTCACTGATGTCTGAACTCGATGGAGAGGAAAATACATCACTATCATTGTCCCCGACGCTACGATATTGTTTTGAGGGGGGACGAAATTCGGTTATGAAATTATTCTTTGAAAACCAATTGACTTCTGGACTATTGATGATGTTTGGTTCATTTTTTTCTGCAATAGATAAATTTTTTGAAAAATCGTCGACAAAATTATCAATAGAGTTTATATTTTCATTAGAAAATAATTTTTTCACTAAACGATCGGTTTTTTGATCTCCTTGTTGTACTTGAAGCTGATCTCTTTGTTCTGGTGTGACAAATTCCTCTTTTGACAAATTCTCAGGTGGGGTTTTATAGTTTGAAGAATCGCTTGAATTCGTTGATACACTAGAACCAGAATCCTTTTTCGCATTTCCAGTATTTTCTTCAAACCCTCTTCCTGTTTTTCCAACTGAGGGACTTGATTTGCTAATCCTCATTTTTAGTTGATCACGATTGGCACAGATGCTTTCTAACCCGTCTCGATTGAGATGGATGTTCTCTAACCTATTCGTTATTTCAGACATATTTCGATTAAAACTATCACTTAATTTTGGCGGGATAGTTGCCATATTGATTAAAGGCATTTTATTCTGTAAATACTCCTCTAATTTTAAAAGCCCTTCTTCATTAGCAAAGTTAGCAAAATCATCCAGGAAATCCCAATATTCCATCCATTTTACATGTTCCTTCTCAGCTAATTGGCGCCCAATTTGTTCGTCCCCTTTTTCGCTGTCTGTGCGTCGAATATATCTCACAGTTTTCCCAAAATCTTTCCGTTTGGAAGGTGTCGTCCAAAACTTTTGAAATTTTATAGCTTGCTCTTTTGCCATAGGTCCAGCAAGAGCGCTGACAGCAAGACTAGGCCTCAAAGGAGAGTCATTCATGCTGCCAAGATTTAGTTGGGCAGGTGACAGCATATTATAATCGTCAATATTTTGTTTAAGCGTAATTGGAGTCCCAACGATCGCATGCTCGCTGTTGTCATGGAAACGTAACAAAGGAACATAGAACTGTTCTCCTAGCAACCGTTGTATATCTTTTTTATTACTTTTCATTTCTTGGGAAGCTCTTGAACAGATCATTTCCGAAGGCAGTTGTCCGAATTTGTTGCGTACATCCGCAGAGCATTGTGTGTGCGATATAAGAATTTCAACGACTTCTTTGAATCCTAATTTACATGCAAAATGTAACGGCGTCTCAAATAATATTTTTTCAGGGGTATTCAGATATAAATCAAGAATATGGTTCATTCTTTCAGACTTTTCATCGCTGGAATTTGGGAACATTAACTCATGAAATTCAGAATTTTCAAGAACTGCTAAAATTTCCGAACAAATTTCCGGTTTATTGGATTTCGCTGCAATGTGGAGGGCGTTATATCTAGCACTCGCTTTCAAAACGACAGGCCCATCTGCAGAACTTATAAGATATTTCGGATTGCTCCAAATTAATTTGCGAACGTCCTCTAATTGTCCGTTTTCTATATAACGCATCAGAACATTCAAATCTTCTTGCTTCAAACTTGGAAATTTATTCCCGATATCTTCCGTAGAGTTCGAACTTTTTATTTCTGAAGATGATCTCCTTTGCTCTTCCATCCCATTTAAAGAATATTCTTTCGCTTTTTCATAATCATCAAAAACTTTAAATCTTGCTGTTTTATGCTCTTTTATTGCTAGTAACGTTGACGACTTTGTTTCAAATACTATTGGCTCAATATTTTCATTTTTCGGGTCAGTTTTGGGTAGAAATATTCCATAATACACTTTCACCTCATCATTTTTTATCAAAATTTCTTTTTCTTTTATTTTTGAAGCATTTAGTAGTTTTTCAGTTGCCGTGACAACAGTTGATTTATCTTCTTGCTTTTCTTGATTTTCTTTGTTTTGAAACGCTGACACAGCTCCTAATTTTTTTGCAAGTCGACTCCTGAATAGTCTTCGTGTTGTGGGGGTTATGGGGCCAGCGTTAACCCCTACTTTACCCAGTTCAGCTCTCAGTTCGGCATCGCTAAGGTTTGTGATAAATTCAGGAATAGATGTATCACCCATCCTTCTTGCTCACATTTCTAATTATTCAAATTATTCCTAGTAGCTATTTCCTGAAATATAGAGGAAGGTTAAACTTAGATATATCAGGCAATGTTCACAACCCTCCGCTGCATATCGTGTTAATCATCGTTAGTTCATTAATTATTAACAGGTAAGACGAATCGTGGTAGTGTTTCCCGATTCTTATCAGCTCCGTTGGCACTGGTCCTTCGCATAATCGCACGTGGGTCTCATGTAGTTTCATACCTAATCCACTTCTAGTGGGCGTAGCATAACAATTTTTTATAATATTAATCCTAACCCTCGCCCGACTACGCCATCCAAAAATTACGTCAGTGACGTAATAAAGCCCTTCAAACTATACGAACTGTTGTCCAAGACGAGCATCCGAATCAGTTCTTTATCGTTGTCGCCGATGCCATTTCGGGCGATCGTATGTATATTTGACAAGCTCTATGACGTGATTGTGGCGTCGTAGTGACGTAATTTTTGAATGGCATAGTCAGGTGAGGATTGATAGGCCTATGTGAAAAAATTATTGCGATACGCTCGCTAGAAGTATGTTGGGTACGAAACTACACACGACCCGAGGCATTTAGTGAACTTGCGCCGTAATATCTATCCTACTGTATCTCAATACATAATACTACATCATTTACATTAACTTTTGAATATTATAAATCAGTGGTTCCTAACCGGGGGCACAAGGCTAATAATTGATGAGCCTCAAAAGGTTGGGAGCCATATCAGACTATTATAAATTATTATTGCATATTTATATATTATTGAATATATTCTGAAGTGGGATTGCTGGAGCCCTCTCCGCGAACGGTGGTTCACATACGGACTATTACAATATCAGGTTCCCGCATCCTGGCATCTGAACCTGGTTTTTAACTTTCCTTCAAAACTGGCATGGACCGGTACCGTACCGGTACCGGTAACCAGACAGCACGATTGAACCGCCTTATCACCTTTCCTCTACTCCCGGATGCATACGGAAACCCGTGTTCAACAAATATCAGTAACACACAGAAGCCCACAGGCCCTCCTTTCCCTCGGGATAAATGATATAGTCTAGTTACTGTACTAGAAATCCTACACAAAACCCAGCGCACGCCGCGCCAGATTCACCTGTTGTTTCGGTGCAAGAACCAACCAATCAGATTATATAGACCCGCCTCCGATAATACGCTTGAGTAATTTAAGTATAGTATAAGTATAAGTTTATTTCGACTCCATAATCAGCAAAACAATAAAATGAATGCTAAAAATAAATAAATAAAAACTGATTATGAAATCAGGAGAGCGAACAAAACCTTAGATAAGGTTTAAAACGTACAGAATGTATATAAGATGGAAGGTTTTGCCAAGAAGATGTGGTACGTGTTCACTCACCTAAAATAATTGAAATATTTCACACACGCTCACACGCACCCACACACACAACCATATAGAAGTTATTAAGTAAAGGGAACATGAAAAATTACATACTGGTAGTTAATAAAAAATAAATAAATAAAAATTACTTGCCACACCATATTAATAAATTTATCATGATTGCCACTGCCAAATTGATCAATTTTATAAATGGGAGTGAACAGTAAAGATAAACTTTTATAAAAAAATATATTGTCAAGCTGATTATAGATGGAGTCAAATGCCAAAATGCCCAACCAAAGTTGCCAGAATTGGGTGCATGAAGAGGTGGGCTAGACCACTTCATTGCCCAAACTAGAGCCTATTATTGCCAAATTGTAGTCCAGATTGCAATAAGTATTTAAATCTATCAGTAACTTTATAAGTATGAGTAATTATAATTAATTAAGGTAGAAAGACAGGGTATAGGAATATGTTGGTTGCTAAGGTTATAAGGTTTTTTTTTTCATTCTTAGATATTGACTTCTGCAAGGATAAAGGAATTAGGAATAAAGGAATTAGTATTGTTATTTCACAGAATCATTTCTTCATTTAATTATTATGGCGTAATAGGTTCAAGTTTATCGTGGATGAGACATCAGCCTGCGAATTTTGTTGTTGTAGACACCATTTAGATTCAATAAACTAGCCATTGTATTGATCATCACAGAAAGACCTGAAAAACAGAAAACAAATCTGCGAGTAGGATATTCAAGGGTTACATATTTGGAAACAGCACTACCCTACACTTTTGTTTAGAATTAATTATTATTTCGAGTAGATATTGATTATTAGTTATCTATCTATAAAACGCTAGTTCAAAGACCAGAGTTGAAATATGGTTGGGACACAGGGTGAATTCCTCGCAAACCATGCAGAAACTCTCAAACCACACTGACCATTCGTATGTTGGCCTTCACATCAACTTCACAGCAGAACCTCAACCTAGGATAAAATTTTGTATACACACAAAACAAATCATAGAATACCACAACAAATTAAAATGAAGGGGAGAATCCAATATATCTCCACTGGTCGCCTAATTACAATAATAGGTACAGGAGCTAAACTATACGGTCTACAACCCTCATAAGGTATCACACCACCCATATAGAAACAAAGATCATGCATGTGTAATGTCAAAAATCCAACGTTAAGCAAAAAGGGAACATGCGCATGCAGATGTCAGAGTGTAAACAGCCATTTGAAAAATAAATAAATAAAATAATTTGCTGTGCATGCTACAGAACCCGACACACCAACAATAGATGTAGAACAGGTGGAGAGAGATTACCTGCCGGCTCAACAACAATCAGCAGCTGCAGGAGCAATAGCAATATTGTAGCTGTTTAATATTTTCATGAAAATAAGTATGTGCAAGTGAAGAGTGTCCCAACTTTCTATCATGGTCATTCATGAAGGTTCAATATTTTTTGTGTCCGAGCTATCAAAACGTTGTAGCTAATTTCATACGAAAGAGTATATATATCAGTGTGGTTATGGGAAAATAACTTTTAATATTTGGATACCAAGTACGACTTAACTTGTTTCTGAAATGATTTTTTGGATTTTAATGACTTCAAATTCAAGGGGAGAGAGTTCCATAGCTTAGGTCCATTATAGCATAGGGCATGCTGACTCACAGATTTACTCATAAACGGTATAAATAAATTGGAATTACTTCTTCGATTGGAGGTGGTTTTGGTTAGTATGTCGTCAAAGCAGTTTGACAATGAGTTGTCATGAAAATCATAAACTAATGATAATACTTCAAATTTCATTATGTCTTCAACTTTGAGTATATTTAGCGATTTATAGAAATGATTTACGCTTTCACGTTTACTTTTCCTAAAGACAATTCTTAAAAAATTATTACAAATGCTTTGCAATTTCGAGACAAGTGTTTTATTACCATGGAGTGAGCTATGAGCTCACCAGACTGAGCTACAATATCGGATATGACTTAGTAGTAGAGATTGAAACATTGCTAGTAAAGCTGATTGATTAACGCACTGGGATACTTTAGCAGCAACTGCCAAGTTCCTTTTTGTTTTACCAATAACATGCAACATTTGTGATTTCCATGATAGATTTTCATCAAAGATAACTCCTAGAAATTTTATTTCTTTCACTCTTTCAATTTCATTGTCATTGAGCAGTAGTGGTTTTGAACAACTCACACTTTTATGCTTGCTTGGGTGGAATAATACAAATTTAGTTTTGTTAGCATTAAGAGATAATTTGTTAACCAACATCCAGCTATGAATGTTGGTTAGTTCTTGGTTTGCAACTGTGAGTAGATCTTCAAGGTTTTTCCCATGAAGAATCAAGTCAGTGTCATCAGCAAACATGATCGACTCAGAGGATTTCAGACACCTGGACATGTCATTAATGTAAGCTAGAAAAAATAATGGGCCAAGTAATTAGTATTTAGAATGTAAGTATTTAGAATGTAGAAGTATTTAGAATGTGATTTCCACATTGACAACGTGTGTATAAAATAAACCTCAATTGATTTCCAAATATATCTCGTAGGACCGGAAAGCCGATAAAATGGCTCAATCATATGGTGGACCAAGGCTTACAGAAAATTGTTTCGGGATCAGCGAAACAGGTCAGTTGGAACACAAGCTTTGGTATCGTATCACAGGAAGGGGTGCTCCCGAAGTATGCGAACCAAGATGGCGGACATCAGAACGTAACATGGGTAACAGGTTAGGGTTAGGCGATAATTTTTTTCCAATTTTCCTTATTTTAGTCCTATTATCAGTTCGAAGACTAGCCAAGAGCCTCCCGTAGTATTTATACCTAAAATTATGGCCTAACCCTAACCTAGTACACATATTACATTCCGATGTCCGCCATCTTGTTTCGCATACTTCGGGAGCCCCCAGGAAGGTTTGAGGATCTAAAGCTTCAGTCAGTCTTCTGATAAGACCACCTGTTTTCGGAATGTCTAGTTTAAATTTGTGGAATCAATATAACCCATGGTGTTTTTTGACAGATGGTTAATGCTTAAGGTTTGGAGGATCTTCTACAAGAGATAAATGAAGGGTAGCGCCTGTAGTAGTTGTAATGGCCATTTTCAGCCCATGACTGGTCATTAGCTAGGGACGTCGTTCATGACAAACGATGGATGACAAATAACTAGGCTTACCATACGTCCCGGTTTAGCCGGGACAGTCCCGGATTTGAGAAGCTGTCCCGGCGTCCCGGCCGGTTGACTCAAATGTCCCGGTTTGTCAGCACGGTTTTCATGGGTAAAAAATTCAAATTCATTATTATTACAATTTTTTTTTCTAACGGTGACAGCCCATTTACCACTGTTTTGCGACACACTTTGCTAGTTCAGAGAGAGAGAAATCGCTCTATTGTTATGTCACAATTGGTACATGTTTTAATGCGTTTTCTGGCGTTAACTGCAATGTCGTTAAGTTGTCGAAATGCCAAAAAGAAAGTACAAGTTTTCTGATGAGTTGAAGAAAGATTTTCCTTATTTGAAGCAAACTGAAGGAGGAAAGGTACACCGTACGCATTGCAGATCTGTTTTTCTATTAGTCATGACGGACGTTCAGATGTCAACGATCATATCCAAAGCAGGAAGCACAAAACATTGAGGCATCGACTCGACTGACCAATTTTGCGTTAACAAATTCGGATGATTCTGTGTCGTTGGCAGCCGACATTTACCTATCACACTGCTATTCATGACCAACGTTTTGACTGCACCTCTAAATTAATTTCAAATTTTTTTGAGGCTAAATTTGCATTAACTTGTAAATATACACAGTTAGAATTTCTGATGTCCGCTGTCTGATAAGCGGATTCGCTGATTTTGCACGTTTAGCCAGAAATAAATGAGAGTTGGTGCATTGTTCCGCTGTTCTCCTCTGAATTTAATGATGATTTACTTCAAGCTCGAATGGCAACAAAACGCAGAAAAGTTGATGCTAAGTGCAAAGGGTTCAATGGCGCTGAAAATATTCAAATTGAATTTTTTGAGATACAATGAGGAAATAAATCTATATTCTATTCGAGAGATGTATCACTGCTTGATTTTTAATATAAAAAGTATCATCCGTTCAGTTCCAACTTTCTAAAAATATGTGCGGCCCGCCAATGACTCGCAACCCTTAATTTTGGCCCGCGGGCGACAAAAGGTTGCCGACCCCTGCCGTAGATGTTGCAAATATTCTGTCAGAGGTGAAGCTAAATTTGCAGGGAAAAAATTTGTATTTAAAAAGAATGTTTGCGATTTTTACGAGATATATCTATCGTATATAGAGCTGCACGATGAAGCCTATGAGACGACCACGTCTATAACTCTGTTTTATTTTGTATGTCAATATTTATTCTTAACACTTGAGTCACTAGTGAGCAGCTGTGTAACTCTCTTTCAGCTGGTTTGTCAGACTGCCGGCAGTGTAGATATTTCTCTGTGTTTCAGGTTATTATTATAGTGTTTAGTGCCGATATCTGTGTAATTCTGGTTGTAAAATGATATTAGTAGTACAGGTTTACTATTTCTCCAGTTTGGCATAGCTCTGTTCACTAACACTTCCGTAACTAGTCTATTTTCGCAGTTTATTTCCTGTGTGATTTCTATGCGTATTTCCATGTATATTACGTGTTTGTCGATAAGATAGGATTTGTGTGTATCTTTAGTGTCATACTAGTTATTCTTATGTATATCTAGGTATGTTTTACCTGGTTTTTAGTATCCCATTATAAGTAAATAGTTCATGACTGTGACGTCATAGACAAATTCTGTATCTTGTGTTATATATGTATCGGTATTTGTACTGTGTTTTTATTTGTTTATTGTATTTCTTATTGGAGTATTTGGTTGTATTAAGTTCTTACAGGTGTATAATTAATCTAGTTAGTTAACTTAGTTACTCTGCTGTATTTGGAACCGCAAGAAGATTATTTTGTGATCGACATCTATTGCAACTTCAGTGTCCAAGAAGCTGGCAGAAAGAACCTGAGTGGTGATATCAATTTTGGTACGCCACATATACGAATTTTTGGCGAGCACACGCCAGGATATATTATTTGACACAAGGACTATTAAGACTAAGCCGATTAAGTAGGCTTGTCTGTGACGGATAATATTTGGACAATATTGGACATTTGAGGTTGCCGAATTTTTTTTAATTGCGGTTGCCTGATATCTTGGAAAAATGGTTAAGAGAAGAAAGATTGTACCGGCACCAAAGGAAGCAAAGGAGAATGAACTTTTGCATCTGCAAATACAGATATTAAAGGCAAAACTGAAGGAATCAGAAGAAAAACAAGAGGAAATGTTGGAAAAGCAAGAGGAGACTGACAGTCGTTTGCAACTGATAGACAGTCGTGTGCAACAGATTGGAAGTCAACTAGAATCAGTTGAACTCCAGAATGCGAAAATTGGCTCATCTTTTGAACATGTTTACAACATGCTGCAAGATATTTCTGGCGTGGTTAAAACAGGAAAAGTTGCTGATTCTGAAGAAACGCAGCCCCATGTCACATGTCCCAGATGTCAGCTTGATCACTTCAACACCCGCAACGGTTGTTCCAAAAGCAGCGCCTGTTCTCAAGCATGATGAAATTTCTGATTTTGGATCAGAAGATGGACAGCCAGAAGGGAAGCGGAACGCGTTCTCACAGACATTAGAAGTGAAATTTTTGGAGAATAGTCATGTGAGTAACCTTGCACCTACAATTCCTTTTTTGAATGATAATGGTAATGAGGGCACAAATGTCAGAAGGCAACTTAGTACTAGGCCGAAAATGGTTACAGTGGCTACACAATCAGCTCCTCCAGTGAGCGCTAGTAGTGTCTCAAATGCCAATGTCAGCCGTAGTGTTCTCAATAGCACAGCTAATGCTACGATGATGGCAAGAAATGCCAAAAAGCCAATGTATTTCGATGGATCCACTGTCATGACATGGCCCAGTTATTTATGCCATTTTGAATTGGTTACCAGTTATAATCAGTGGGATGACGACACTGCAGGATTAGAATTGGCTACTTGCATGACAGGTCAAGCTCTAAATGTGTTGAAAGATTTACCAGATATGAAACGTACTAGCTATCGTGATATTGTGGCTCATTTTAATCATTATTTCAAACCTGCCGGAAATGCGAGCTCATATCGTACTACATTTCATTGTCGTAGGATTAAGCCAAATGAAGCGCCACGGGATTATGGTAACAAATTGAAAGAGCTTGTTATTCTTGCTTACCCAAATCTTGATATTGCTGGTCAAGATGATATTTTGAAATCGCAGTTTCTCGCCGGTTTAACCGATGAAAGCATGATCAAACATGTTACCATGCAACAGCCTGATACTTTTGAAAGTGCACTGTCTCTTGCAACGCTGTATTACTCTGTTGATACTAACCACTCTGAGAGAAGAGACATGCCTAAACCTCGCATTGCCGCAGTGAAACAGAGTAACACTGGTGATGCAGCTAATCAGCAAACCGACCTTTTTCAGTTTCTCGAGAGCAGTTTTGAGCGACTTGTAGCAAAACTGGATGAGATCATAGGATATGTTAAGCCACGCGCTAACAACAATCGTAATTTTGATGGTGTACCACGCAACCCGTGTCCTCGTTGTGGTAAACATGGTCACTGGGGCAGGGATTGCAAGGCTTGTTTTAATTGTAAGCAGACTGGTCATCTTAAACGGGATTGTCCACATCTTCAGAATCCCGCTGATCCTGCAACAGCTGCTTCCTCTTCGACCGCAAATTTAAACGACACTCAGCGGGCTTGAGGTCCTCAGTGTCCGCTGAATTATTACTTGATGACGGACCAACGAACCAGAATATAGACCTGAATATTTGTTCCTTGCAATATGACAATAGTTGGCATGCGAAGGTACTTGTAAACAATCAACCGTTCAATTTTCTTGTAGATAGTGGTGCTATGACTACTCTGATTGACATTTCCATCTTTGAGGCTATAGGTGGGAAAGAAGCACATTTAGCACCGCTCGAAGAATCTCTTGTTGGCAGTGGGAGGACATGATTTATCACCACTGGGTACATTGGAAGTTGATTTGTCTATTGATTCGTTTGTATCACGACGCACTGTGATTGTTGCCAACCTAGGCATGACTAATGGTATTTTGGGCATGGACTATCTCCGAGAACATGATTGCGTTCTTTACTTATCATCTGGACACATGATGATAGAGGGTCATGAAATCAAACTGTTTACTGAAAAGTCTGTACCGTGTTGTCGTGTAACTGTTCGAGAAGATATTACTATACCGCCATATTCTAAGGTTGTTATTCCTGCACAACTTAGTCGTCCTTGCCGAAAAGCAATTTGTCTGACGTTGCTTGCTCTTGTTGAACCGCTGATTCTTCTTTCCTTGTTGATGGCGTTCAGCTGATTTCTTCTGTAGTGGATCCAGGAAAGTCCACTGTTCCTGTTTTAGCGGTGAACCAAAAAGGCAGACAACTTAAGATCAGGGCTGGATCTTTGATTGGTATTGCACACCCTCAACTTGTAGCACAAATTCAAGTTGACGAATCCGATAATCGGGTTATAGCTTCTGAATTACCAGAACATCTACATGACATGGTCAATTCCGTTGAGGATCTAACCCCGAGTCAACGTGAACAGTTGGTCAACTTGATTTGTGAATTCCATGATGTATTTGTAGGACCAGATGGCGAACTTGGCCGTACTTCAGCAGCAAAGCATAGGATCATCACAACCACACCACAGCCGATTCGGCAGGCTCCTCGTCGAATGGGGTGGGCGCGTAGGAAGATAGCCGAAGAAGCTGTTGATAATATGCTGGCTCAGGGTGTCATAGAACCCAGCGATTCCCCATAATTCTTCTCCCATTGTCCTAGTTCCCAAAAAGGATGGTTCTACCAGATTTTGCGTGGATTTTAGATTGCTTAATGACGTCACATACAAGGACGCATATCCCTTGCCGCGTATTGAGGATATCATTGAGTCCTTAAACGGAGCAACAATGGTTCTCAACTCTTGATCTCGCTAGCGATATTGGCAAGTGGAGGTTGATCCTGCAGACCGTGAAAGACAGCATTCAGCATCCCAGGCCGTGGTCATTTTCACTTTGTAGTGATGCCTTTCGGTTTGGCGAATGCTTCCCCGCAACATTCGAACGGATGATGGAAATATCCTTGGTGATCTCCTGTGGAACGGGTGTTTCAATTTTCTTGATGATGTTTGGCTCATGGAGTGATTTCTCAATTGCACATCTCAAACGTTCGGGAAGTTTTATAAGAACTTCGCCGTGCCGGTTTAACGCTTGAGCCCTCGAAATGTTTAAACTTTTCCGTCGGGAAAAAAAAAGCACCTCTTATCTGGTTATCTTATTCATCTGACGGTGGTCTGTTGCGACCCTGGAAATGTTGCGGCTTATTAAAGAATGGAAAACGCCAAATTCTGTCAGCGATAATTCGTAGTTTCTAGGGCAGCAGCGACTACTACCGGGGAAGTTTGTTCAAGATTATTCAACAATTGCTGGAGCCTCTTATTCGATTGACCAGGAAGAATATTTCCTTTGTATGGAGGTACTGAATGTCAAGAGGCTTTTGAAACTTTGGAAGCATGTCTGACATCTGCCCAATTCTTAGCTTCTCCGAGGACAATCGGCGAATTTGTATTGGGATACTGATGCCAGTGGTTTTGGGATTGGTGGCAGTGTTATCTCAAGTTCAGGACGACAATGAACGTGTACTTCTTATGCCAGTAAGACTATGTCCAAGTCTCAACGTAGATACTGTGCTACACACCGGGAACTATTAGCTGTGGTGTGGGCTGTTCGTCACTTCAGTCCATTTTCTTCTCGGAGACCGTTCAGAATTCGCACAGATCATGCTGCTCTGAAATGGTTGATCAATTTTCGTGAACCTCAAGGAATGTTAGCAAGATGGATATTAACACTTGGCGCTTATGACTTTAAGATTGAACACAGACCTGGCGTGAAACATGGCAATGCTGATGGATTGTCACGCCAAGTTCGCAAATGCAAGCGAGAAGATTGTTTTGATTGTGGTACCAATGGTGATGTGGCTGTGAGTAATGTTATTGTAAGTGCAAAATCAAAACAGCCCGGTCATCATCGTCAGACGGTTCCGATTGTAATTGGCTAGATACCTACACAGATGAGCAAATTAAATCTTGGCAAAGTGAAGATCCAGATATTTCTGCTGTTTTGAAATGGAAACAACTTACTGCTCAGAAACCTGACATTCGAGAATACATGCCTGAGTCAACAGTGACCAAACGTTTGATGTCACAATGGGATTTGATTTTTGTAGATAATGGACTTCTCTATCGTCGTTGGATTCCTGATTGTAAATCGGAGGAATCGCATATCCAATTGATTGTTCCATCAAATTTGAGGCAGGATTTGTTCCATAAGCTACATTTTTTGCGCACTGCAGGTCATCTTGGTGCTAATCGGACTTTCAAGAGTATAAGGCGCAGATTTTATTGGCCTGGTTTCAAAAGGGACATTCTCAAATGGTGCAAATTTTGCAAGTCTTGTGCTTCGACCAAGATGCTTTACGGAAGAAGACAGGGAGATTTGAAACAACTTATATCTGGAGCTCCTATGGAAAGGATCGCCATTGATTTTCTTGGACCATTGCCTGTAACTGAAAATGGAAATGAACACATTTTGGTTTTGTCGGACTATTTCTCTAAATGGGTGGAATGTTTTGCTTTACCAAATCAGCGAGCTGACACCACTGCTGATGCATTGGTTACTCAATTCTTTTCGAGATTTGGGGTACCAAGAATTCTCCACTCAGATCAAGGAAGAGACTTTGAATCAAAATTATTTTCAGAAATGTGTCAATTGTACGGGATTCAAAAGACTCGAACAACTCCATATCATCCTCGTTCAGATGGACAAGTTGAACGTTTCAACAGGACCATACAGCAGATGTTGAAAGCTTTTGTAAATGAGAATCGAAATGATTGGGACGACCATCTCCCATATCTTTGTATGGCATATCGCTCCACTGTGCATGATAGTACAGGATATTCACCGAACAAGTTAATGCTTGGACGAGAAATCGAGATGCCTGTTGATGTTATGTTTGGCAAACCAGAGTCATCAACTCATCCTTGTTACACTGAATTTGTCGAATGGTTTTCCTGTGCAACTGAAAAAGCTTTTCTTCATGCTAGGCAACATCTAAATGCTGCTGCAACCAGACAAAAGCGAAATTTTGATCTGGGTGTTAAACCACTTACTTTTCAGAGAGATGAATTGGTGTGGTATTATTATCCACCAAAGCATCGCAAGCTGAGTATTCCTTGGATTGGACCTTATCGAATTGTGGACTGTTTACCTAATCACTTGTATAGGATTCAGAAGAATTCGGGAACACGTTCTCGAATTGTGCATGTTGACAAACTGAGACCTTACCTTCATGAAGATGAAGAAGACAACGACATTGACTTAACCGGATTTGACATTTTACCTGATGTGGAACCTATTATGGAAAATGATGAGCAGATTGCTCATGATATATTTGAAGAATTACCTTTTTTCTTCAAGGCCAGACACTGTACCAGAAGAAGTTACAGTTGATGCGAACTCTGATAATAACCAACGTACTAGGCGAAGGCCTAGATATTTGGATGATTACATTTGATTTGACTGTGATAGTGCTTTTAACAATTGATTGTTTTGATTTTAGATATACATTTCATTTGAGTGTACAGTTCTTTGCAGTTTCTTCACATTTTTTATGGTTTTTCAATTTTGAAGATGGAAAATTTCTTTGTAATTCCCCATCTGAAAAAGGGGGGAGTAATGAGACGACCACGTCTATAACTCTGTTTTATTTTGTATGTCAATATTTATTCTTAACACTTGAGTCACTAGTGAGCAGCTGTGTAACTCTCTTTCAGCTGGTTTGTCAGACTGCCGGCAGTGTAGATATTTCTCTGTGTTTCAGGTTATTATTATAGTGTTTAGTGCCGATATCTGTGTAATTCTGGTTGTAAAATGATATTAGTAGTACAGGTTTACTATTTCTCCAGTTTGGCATAGCTCTGTTCACTAACACTTCCGTAACTAGTCTATTTTCGCAGTTTATTTCCTGTGTGATTTCTATGCGTATTTCCATGTATATTACCTGTTTGTCGATAAGATAGGATTTGTGTTGTATCTTTAGTGTCATACTAGTTATTCTTATGTATATCTAGGTATGTTTTACCTGGTTTTTAGTATCCCATTATAAGTAAATAGTTCATGACTGTGACGTCATAGACAAATTCTGTATCTTGTGTTATATATGTATCGGTATTTGTACTGTGTTTTTATTTGTTTATTGTATTTCTTATTGGAGTATTTGGTTGTATTAAGTTCTTACAGGTGTATAATTAATCTAGTTAGTTAACTTAGTTACTCTGCTGTATTTGGAACCGCAAGAAGATTATTTTGTGATCGACATCTATTGCAACTTCAGTGTCCAAGAAGCTGGCAGAAAGAACCTGAGTGGTGATATCAATTTTGGTACGCCACACCTACAATGCTGCCAGGCCACACATATGGACAAATTTGAAGAGTGAAATAAACTGGACTGAAGGGTTTGGTCTGCAAAATTGATAAATGATATGTTTGGTTATAGCTGATCAGGTTTTGAATAACGATGCACTTTTCGACGAATACTGATAAAGAGATATTTATCTGAGCATGGTTCAAATGCAATTTGACTTACTTTGCCGGTTGAAATTAAGTGGACAGAGATGTTTAACGTTTTTTCCAACAGAAATATTAGCATTTCGAATTTGCAGCAAATTGGTTGATTTTGTTTTTCGGAACATCGGCATCTGTTAAAAGGATTTTTTCCATTGTTAAAAAATTTTGGTCCGAAAGCAGGTGCAGAATGCCAGAAGAAAATATAAAACCACTCCGTAACCTGCAAATTTAATGGTGATGTCTCTTGTTATCAGTTTTATGACAAAATCAAAACAAGAATTTTTGAGAAAGGTTCCATCTGCGGACAAATACTTTTAGTCTAAATGAATAATACAAACTAATTTTTTGTGTTTTTTCTAATTCAATGATCAGTAGAGATTTACAGCCGTATATACCCGCAATGGCATGGTAGACGTTCCAATATTATCAAGACTGGCAATCGACCGAATGTTTGCCAAATCGCACCGTCCCGGTTTTTTGTTTCAGATTTATGGTAAGCCTACAAATAACGGCTCATCGCCAGAGCTTTGTAAGTTAATCAGAGTCATGATTAGGGCTTGCTGGCTGAGAAAAATAATCACAGTACAGTTGTGCAGCAGGTAGGTAGACAGGTCAGACGATATTCGAACCCACAATGCACACATGCAGAGTTATGGCTATATCCGTTTCTTGTATTACTTTTGGTCCAAGTCAGTGGTCATTTTCGAACTCAGAACAATAGAAAGTTCATTTTAATTGTCAAACCACAAAACCCAGACAATATACATAGATATATAAATAAACAGATGCTTTTGTATACGACTGGGAGGCAACGATATGCCCTTTTGCAACCACCCATACTTCGTCTGATTTAACGTTATAACTTTCATAAAGTACTTTAGGTTTGATATTAAATAGGATTAGAACTAAATTTATGAATTTGATGACCTGTTTTTTGTCAACTAAAATATTCGGCACTGGCTACTTCTGTATCTGCTTTGCCAGTTGCTTTTTAGGTGCGAGGTTGTTGGATATTGCGCTGCAGTATGTTTGCTGAATTATTCGCATAGCAGATTGTGAAAACAAAATTTCAGACTATTTCAGAAATTTTTCCTTCAACTTCAATGAGTGAATTTGCGGTTCCAATATCAGCAAAAACGTTCCGAACTCTTAACTCCACAGCCCGGATCTTGTTCAAGTTGGCTCGGCGGTGTGGAGCAATTCTGATTATCATGCGTTGGTTCGCATTCTATGCAGAGATAATAATGTGCGAGAGGATTGCTGGACTCCTCGCCGCGTTGGGGTGGTTCACATAATCGCTGATCGGTTACGGCTTCCTTCACCATCAAGTCCATGCTTCCAAAAACAAATAACTATCCAACTAGTCTCATACCCGACATTCACTGGTAGGTAACTGGACGAGAGGCCGTGGTTCGCCATATGATTAAGCCATCCTATATTATTTCCTCGCCTCCGGGATAAATATGTAAATCTTATCCTACATTTAATTTGAGAAAGCAGAAATATTGATTGAATGACAAGTTAAGTCGAAGTTTTATCGTGCCTGCATAACTTTTCACCAACTCTCCATCCTAGGTCGTTGTTCACAAACATGTGAATTGATGACAAGAAGCACCGTTTATTACATATCACAATAATATACAACAATATATGCAGGTTAACAAAAAAGTGAGTTAAAGATTATCAACAACAGAGCAATGTTTAAATTTATGGACATAAAGATCATGCCCCGGTACGATAAGGCGTGAGAGCACCGAGTTTGCTGATAAGATCGACGAACAAGCAAACATTTAATTGAAATAAAGCAGCAAACTTTTAATAAAATTTAAGGTCCCATGGGTCTCTGAAATTGAAAAAAAAAAAACTAAGTAGTATCAAGCTCTTTCTTTAGGAATTTAGATTTGGAATTGATTGGTCCGGAAGATTTTTAACAACAAGAATTTAACAAACCGTCCATGTTGGGACATTTAACTGATTTGTTATTTGCAATGCCCAACCTACTTTGAATCGCCATCTTATGACTTATCTCTCCCAGAATTATTACAAATGTCCTACCTATTTTAAGGCAACGATTGCCGTTGATGTGTTCGCTGTTACTTTTGGTAATAAATTGTGTAAAGGTAAATAAAGTGAGAAGGTTGCTTGATATCAAACTGTATCGCAACATGTAATTTGAAAACTGGATCACACCACGAATGCTAAGTGATCTGATCTTTACTCTTGATCCATTATTTTAAATTTCAGTAGAGAAAATTCTGCCAAAATTTGGAATGAATATGAGAGCATTGAAGCGTATATGCTGCCAACTGCTGGCTGTTCATAAATATATATTAACAAGCTGAAAAATTGCAGAGATAAATTATTTCACTCAGACATGAAATGGTACGAAGAATATTTTCATGCAGACATTACGAACAATACAAAATAACTTGAAAATCAAATACTACGAAATTAAATAAATAACTATAAATATATACAATTTAGAATAGTACATTGCAGGGTACCGGAATTCCGTCTCCAACCCAGGAACCGCGCGGTAAGTGGGCCAAGCACTGGGTTACTTTATTTAGATGAGCAGAGTCACGTTGAGCCGTCCCAACACTGGTAGCCTACATGGTGATACACGTTTACGGATGGGAGAAAGACTCTTGCAATCGATAAACGTAAGAATGACGGTGAGTATTTCCTTGAAATTCTTTAGTTGCAAATCGCAGTATATTAAATCTCTGATGCTTTTGAGATGCGAAAGAATAAAAAAGTGTACCATAACGGGGGTGGCAAAATTACGGCCCGCGAGCCGGCCGACTGACCGACAGATGTGTTTCATCTGGCCCGCTTGTGTCCGCTGAAATTACGACTATAGTTTTTATAGATATGAACTTCTGTTGAAAATAACGATGAAAATACGTCACAATGACCCGATTATGCTTATTATTATATAAACGTTAGCCTATCTGTTGTAAATAAACTTTTTTATTCATAGTTTTACATATTGAGTTTTGAGTCTCCGGGCCAGTAACCAGGTATATTATCTGACCCACTCAAAAAATTAATTTCCCGCGCCTGATGTAAAACAACATTATGGAAAATCATTGAAAATATCAAAATTGTAGTGGAGAGGATGGGTATCGCATCATAATTGCATGTATGTTGCTTCATCATACGATAGCACCACTTTTTGTGAGCTTAACTCGAAATATTTTTAAAAATTTTTATTTCTGTAAAGTGTCACTCCCTGGTCGATATCCGACTGACGACTGCGCTTAGTACTAAATCCCGTCCATATAGACCGAAAATCAAACAGTGCTGAAGATAGAGGTTCCGTTGTACGGCACGTGGTCGCAGTCTGCCAGTGCACTCTGCTCTAACTTAGTCCGTAGGAATTCAGATGTGTAGACCATCCCTGCTATTAGTCCAGCGATACCGATTGCAATGAACAGAACATCTCTGATTATTCGAAGCACGGACAGTGGTTCTTGGTGTTGGTGCCTGCTGGACGGTTCTCTGGAAATTGAAAAGAAATTTGATACGTTAGGCGAGGATAAAGTACTGGTAAAATTTTAGGCGCTTTTAGTTTGTTACCCTCAGTTTAGAACCTCACATGCTAACCCGGCTTAGTGGTTTGGCGCATCATGCTAAGCGTTAGGAATGTGCCCGCCATCGCACTTCTGATTACCCTGTGTGGGTTTGCAGGTTAGAATCTCAAGAGGCCGTAGGGTGGTTATAGGTAACGGCTTCCGGTCCATGCATCTAAAACTGTTAACTCGCTACCTGGTCCCATACTTGACATAAACTGGTAACAAGACGAGAGGCCGTGGTTCGCCATATGAATAAACAGTCTCGTAGGCTTTTCTATCCACATAAATAGACGATCAATTTTTCGTAGATATGGAAGCTGTAAGAAACCAAAGCTGGTAATTGAGCAGCGAGACTTCCGGGTTTTTATTTGGAGAGCATGGGGATAATATCATGCCACATCACCCGAGATAAATATGTATGTCCTATTCTAAATGAAAAATAGTGATTTTTTGCCTTAAAAAGATTAACAGTAAATTTGGCAATCAAAACGGCACCAAGTCGGATAACTCGTCTAACGCTGTAGGTGGGCGAGTAATCTGTGACGACTTGTTCTTGTAGACAAGTTGTCCACCTTCTGCCACACGCAAGGTTATAATGTTTAGTTGAAGGTTCAAAGTTTTGCAAGTAAGGAAAGTTGGTAACACTCACCCAGTTAGACTTGTTCCCTCCTCGTCATGCAACAAATCCTCATCATCGTCTGCTGCCACCCTTCCCCCAGTTACGTGTAGCAAGAGATCACTCAAGAATGGAAAAACGAAAGTCAGCGTGAATGAAGTCAAAGATCCGAACAAACACGCAAGGCCTGCGTAGCTTGGAATCCCTAGTGCCAGTCCTCCTGAAATGAATTTATTTGAAAGGTTTGAATGTAAAAAGGAAGCTGTCGGTGATCCCTCCCTACGGTCACTGCAAAAATTAGTATTGTGGGATGGTTACAACACGGATCTTTACAAGCGGCTACTAGGCACGAAGATAGCTGCTATGTCGTGGGAGAAGGGGAATCACCCCAGTTGGGCACTACCTATCCAATTTTTTTCTATACATTGAGGTGGTAAATATGAGAGTCGGAGCTGATATATTTATGCTGCAATGCTAACAATACCAGCATAGCCTCACTCGGGTATGTGTTACAAACCGTGTCCGGAAAATTCGCGGCAGGAAATTTGGCCGTAGGAAATCTCGCCACAGGAAATTTCGCCGCATAGGAAAGTTCCCCGCATGGAAAATCGAGATTTCCTACGGCGAAATTTCCTAGAATCGTTTTAAACTATTCCTGACATGAAGAATTCATATTGAATATCATTATTTTTTAATTTAATCTTCGTTTGCGGCGACCCTGTGATACGTTTGATAAATTCTGCTCATTAGGCTCATGCAGAAGAGTTTGGGTCATGCTATCTTGGCGCTACATATAAAACTATATCAGACGACGCTTAAACGCCGCGAAGGCTTAGTGCTATCTTGGCGCTACATATAAAACTATATCAGACGACGCTTAATCGCCGCGAAGGCTTAGTGCTAGCTTGGCGCTACACAATAAAGTTTTCGCGTTCAAACCCCACCACGTTCCCAAGACGTGATAACGGCCGAACCAGAAGGATCTCACCCATCCGAAATAATAGTATCTTCTCACACATTATTGACTGCGCTCATAACCTTGTCGAAGTGAATATATAAAAGCGCTCCATAAATAAGTTAAGCAAATAAATAAGCAAAAGTGACGACAACGTACCTGCAACTCCAAGAAAAATCATCTTAAAAGCGACATCGCATAAAATCTCAGCCCCAGATAAGCGTTCAGATAATGCAGGATCGATCTGGTGCCGGAAAGATACAAACACTAATGCCAGTGTCCCAGATGCTATCCGCACAATGGGGTAAGTTCTGAAAAGAAAATTGTTTGTTTGATTAAACTGTTGACACTGACATGGACAAAGTACGACCCGCGGGTCATATTCTGTTGGGTAATTCAATCTGGCTCGTCTGATGCTGCCACAACTAAACCAAAACCAAATTTTAAACAATAACTCAAGAAATTTGTTGAGATTTCGATTAAATTCAGTTTTGGCACAAAGCTTATTGCTTTCCACTTTTGCTTTTGTAACACTGAAAATATTGTTCATAAAATATTTATATATATTCATAACTTTTTACGTCACACTGACATGGCCCGCTGGTATAGGTGAGCAAAATTTTTGGCCCCTGTCCCAAAAACCTTCCATCCTTTTCTACGACGTTTAAATATTTAGTCTTATGCCCACAGTGCCACCTCATTAAAGGATGTGATTAGGGAGGAAGCCTCGGATCAGAAAGACACTGGTCCTTACAAATATGCATCAGTGGATGATTTTAACGAGCCTTGTTTGGAGTTAAGTATTATTAAAGCTGTATTAACTAAGTGACCTTTTTATAGTTGGGGCGGTGATCATTACTTAGGGCAAACTATACACCCCTAAATATAACTCTCAGTCTGATAGTGGCGATCTTAATTGTTCAATACTTTTGGACACTCTTTCCACATTCGAGGACCCGGGAACTTGCTTTGTGGAAACTTGCAACTCTTTTATCAGTAGCTTACTCTTTCCACTTTATATTTGTGTCGAAACGTTTATAAAATTTGTATTCAAAATTATTCATAGCATTTTACTCACCCTCCGTTGAGAGGCAAATTGAAAGTGATGCTTCCGCAAGTTTCGAGCCCGAGACCCAGGAAGACTGCGACAGACATTCCGATACCGACCACAATCGTTACAACCGCAGCCACTATCAATATGATCGGAAACTTCTTGCGATCCCTGAGATTCTCATAAGACGCTGTTACCTGAAATAATGTTAAATTGTAAGAAATGGAGGCATAGGCAAAGTGAAAATTGGCGGGGGTTCACAAAGATGAGTTAAAGCAATGTTTTCCAGCGAGTGGGTCACAACCAGGACACGGCATTTTGAATCAAATCCTAAATTATTCGATTCGGTTTTGACGGGAATTTTTTCAGATCGCCGCCATTTTGCTTTTCTGACCGCCGTCAGGTCGAGATGAATCGATCATTTTTAATTCGTTTGAATATTTTAATATGCAATTCTGACATATATATGTGTATGAGCACTCAGCGAACTGCCTGAGTTATAGATAACGTGTTTTCACTAATTTATGTGGCTCAAGGACCCATTACAATTAAAATATTTTATTATTCAATTCTGGAATCATTTGATATTCAAAAATGCCCAACCCAAGTCACAACCTAACGTTTGGTCGCCTGAAATTCCTCTCGCATTGTGAGTTGATGATATCAAATTATAGAAAATTCCATTGTTTATTTAGTATTTAATATTTGAGCGTTGCTCGATAGTAATTGTATATGTGGGAAGAATCAATGCATGATCCATCTTGCTTTGCTTAAGTAAAGCCACGCCATTGTTACAAAAACAGCATTCTCTTTAGTGCAACTTTGAAGTAAATTCTGGTGAAATGATTGCTATGTAGAATTGATTGTTTTGTATTTGCATATTCCTGGGTCGCAAGATTTCACCAAATTTATTTTTTTTAATTCGGGCGGCTTTAAAAATGGGTCGGGGAAACGTTACACAAATTTCATGATACAGAATTCCTAACCAAGCGTCAACAAGACAATAAGGAATATGATTTGAATTATAAGAATCTTTTTTGCATCGTTATACGTGTGTATTATCATCGCACAACCTGTCATTCAATTTTTATTTGGCGCATTGGCGATATAAAATTAGTTTTTGGATTTGAAATAATGTTATGAGCTGATCGCGGAGTGTTTCAAATTTTATCGACGCGTAGATTATACTAAGTTTTGAAAATAAGTCTCAGTGCCGATGTAACAAATACTTTTCGGAGTTGTTTGTGAAGTTTGCTATGACTCTAGGCTTCGGTGGAGACAATAACGTCATATTGTGAAGTTATCGAATATGGCGTCATATCATACTTACGTCATCAGGAGTAGCCCCTGTTGTGAAAATAACTCCAGCAAATAGTAAGCATATCTTGTCCCATTTTGCATTGGTAGTCAGTTGAAGAGCGTCGTTGCTTGAGGCCTAAAACATTGAACAATTTGATCAGGGTAGTTGTGGCGTTAGACTGGATGTGCAGGGCAACAGGTATAAACAATGCCAGTGGACTGAAGCTTATGGAGACCATGTTTGTCATCTACGGCATCAACATGCCACGATACTAGACGAAAGGGTTATGGTGTTGCGAGAATTTACACTCGACCCTCCGAGCCATTAATTTGATTTTAATTCTGATGTTTGAAAGATCCTTTTTTATTAGATTTGTGCTGCTTCAAGTACCGCTTGTGGTAATTACGTGTAATGCACCATCGTAACTATAAATAGTTTCCGCATTTCGGGATCTCTTTTATATCTGAGTGCGCAGGTCTTGCTTTGAGGATATTATCTTCGACAGCCATGGTTGACATCAACCATATAAAACAAGGGAGCGATGCTCAAATATATGGACACAAAATGATACTGATATACAATCTGTTACAGTAGCCTATCGGTGCCGTATCGCAGCTGAGCAGCAGATTTTTGAACTTACGCAAAAGCGGAACCGCCACAAGTAGCGCAATTTTCAATTTCGGTGACATCATCAGACACAAAAAACGAATAACAGCAAATAAACCAAAGTTCCATTTCGTGCACAATATTGAACCGCCACAAGGAGCACAATTTTTAATTTTGATAATAGCAAAATGATTCATACTCCATTTTGTGTCCAATAATGAATCGAGATACTCACCAGCCGAGAAGTGAAAGATACAATCGTTGGCAAACCAAGAAACACAGCAAACAGTGCGGGAAGTAGGATGAGTAGGAAGGCCGAGCAAATGCAAGGGCAGATGCAATCCTCACACGAACCATGGATATTGTTTCGCAACCACTGAGTGAACGCGTGGGCGATAACCACCGCTACGATACAAATCCCTATGGCAACTCGATCGCCGTCAACACCTGCCGATGTCTGGAACACCTGGAAAGTGTAATAAGAGTAAGATTATTTCGACTCCATCATCAGCAATAGACAATAAAATAATTGGTGAAAACAAACTAACTAAAACTGATTACAGGATCAGGAAAACGAACAAAAGTAAGGTTTAATACGTACAGTTTTTAGATGGAAAGGTTTTGATAAAAGAAGTGGTCCGTGTTCGCTCACCCAGAAATATTAAATTATTTGAAACACGCACACTCACATAAACACAATCAATTACTTAAAAAAAAAAATTAAATATGACAAATGATGTTTGAAATTGGTTACTGAAATAACGTCACATGTTAATATAGTAACAGGGTCGGGTAGATTTAATATTTACTAAGGAAAGAGGTAAGGTGGGTTAACCAGAAGGTAAAGTTTCTTTTCACAAACAATCCATCCAGAAAATTCCTTCCTCCGTTAAATGACCCGTGGAAAATTCCCTTCATTTGATATCACATATCGATATCGCGATTTTGATATGAACCATGGTACTCCCGTTGTATGTGTACCAGGTTAGGGTTAGGCTATAACTTAGTTTTATTACGAGTTCTAGGACTGTCTGTGTTAGCCAAGTGAATATACTTCCTTACCATAGGTTTCAGTCCCGTTACAAAACTTGATGTAAAGTAGGCGAACAAAATTTGTTACCTCCATTTTGGTACACACACTTCTGGAGCGCCGGAACCACTGCTTCTCGTAGAAAAGCACTTTACAGTATTGATTAGTTATATCTAAAGCTTTTAGTCAAATAATTGAAATCATTCTAGCTCTGATGCTGCAGAAAGAAAATACATACCTGGCGAAAACTGAGACCCGCGAAAGCCAGGAACGTGCTTGCGTGGCCGAGCAGGGAAAACCATTGTATGGTAGAGAATACGACGAGGTAGCAATTGACTGAGGTTCGCCTTATTCCTCCCATTGAGTTCTCTAGAACCCACCAGTCGCTGATGCCGGAAGGGGCTGCGATACCTTTCGACCTGAATGGTAAGTAAATGTTAGGTTAACGCTCTGTGTAGTGTTTATGATTCGATGGTCATTGATTTCATGAATGATCTAGTCCTGAGCGATATAAACGCGCAAGGAAACATGGCATAGAGAGCAGAGGGCTAATACCGATCCTTGACGGCATGACTGGTGGTGATTCAAAACCTCATTGAAATTTAGAAGCTTGAAGAATTGAACCAGTTATTCATACTATCTACACCTACTCATAAATTTCAGTATCGGTATTCAAGTTTTACCGAAAATGTCTTTGACCATAAAAGCGGTTTTCCTGGCTGGCCACTTGCACATGCGAACCCAAATTCATTCTGTGCCGCTCAGGTATCGGTTTGACCGGCCTGAATTTTTGCATCGCTCCTAATCCGTCTAGTGGTGATGTGTAAGCAATATAAGCATGGAAAACAGCTCATGTAAATTTCCATCGAAGGTTTTTAAGAAAAAAAAATCTGTGGCTGCTTTCACAGGCCTTGTTCTGGGCGATAGGCGTCGTATAGGAATAGGACGTTTTGAAACCTGTTTGCCGCATTTCTATTATAGTGGATATACCACCATTTTCATAATTATCTAACCCGTTTAATCGGAGTTCAACTATAAGTAGGCTGGTGGCAAGCAGATGCACAAAACGCACGATATCACGTAGTACTGTTTATCATTCCAGTGATATTTATAGCGTTATTATGATTGGTATATTTCAAATCCCATTATGTTCAAACAATCCTTGCTCAAGAAAATGAAAACACCCTTTGAAACACATAACAAAATGAAACTAGGGAGAACGGGGAAATGGAGAATTAAAATCTGTCTTGCCTCCAGCATTGTGGCCCCCCTCCAAATGCTCTGTGGGCCCCTTGGTGGGTCATTGGGCCCCGCTTAGGAATCACTGACTTAGAACTTACGTTAAATCTTCCGCAATCTTCGTCAGCACATGCCCCCTGTATGCATTGATGATGACAAACACAGCAATGAGTATCGGGCCAGCTATGATTCCTCCGAACTTCATTGACCAGGGTAAGAGAAAGAGCGCGATCCCGAGTGGGTATCGGACCAATGTCAAGAAGATTTGGAAGGAACTAAAAAAAGAAAGTAAAATTATAGATTTTAAATAGGCCGAGTGGGTGACTCAGTAGTTAGAGCGGTGATTCACAAACTTTTTAAGACGCGCCCCTTATTTCGAATTTATAATTATTTGCGAGAGGATTGCTGGACTCCTCGTCGTAGGGTGGTTCACATAACTGCTGGTCGGTTACGGCTTCCTCTCCATCATATCCATGCACTGGAACAAGTAACAGTCTAACTTATCCTATTCCCGACGTGTAACAGGAAGAGAGACCGTTCGCCATATGATTTAGCCGTCTCATTGACTTCCTTCTTTCCCAGGAAAACTATTTGAATCCTATCCTAATAGTCAAGAATTGCGTAATATATGGGTTGGTTGAGGACGCAGCAGCACCCTGTAGTCGCTGGGTCAACGGCTGGTGACTATATACTCTATCTATCTAAACCACTGGTTCTCAACCAGTGGGCCATAGCCCAGTGCTGGGCCATATAGACATTTTCAAGTGGGCCACAAGCTTATTCAAAATTACTATGGTTATTGAAAATTTCAGTTTCATTTGTGTCATTATAGTCAATTTTTATGGTAGTAGCAATAAATGATGCTGCTGCTTTTCATTCTAATTATAAAGTGAAAGTATTTATTTTTGCAAACAGAGTCTTGTTTTTCTTGTAGTTTTTTCCGTCCATGAGAAAGTTAGTGGGTCACAGAATTTTTATAAAACGAAAGTGGGCCACGAAAGAAAAAAAGTTGAGAACCACTGGTCTAAACTATATATTAGATCTATTTAGAGTCACTATTTATCAAACAAGTCATCCAAATAATAGGTTCTCAAAGTGCAACATACGAAGCTCCAGTGCTCAAAGTGTGAGAAACTTGGGGACTCCGCGAGCTATTTGTTTACTTATTGAGATACTGACTTTGCTAATTTTGTAACTGTCAAAAGAAGCAATAAAGGCATTTGACAACGGTAGCATCGTAATGTGACAACAATGCGGTAATCGAAATATGGCATTATCTATTGGAACTTATAAGGTACTGCTATATCAATATGTTTGTCAAATTTGCAGGGCTCCGTAGAAAATATTCAACCCAGTCGTGGCTTTTTATCCGACACTGGTGCTGGCTGCATTTATCTGTGCTATATTTACTCCAATCTTTTTCCAAACGATGTTATTTTTGGATATTTTTGATTCATTTTTCCATTGCATAATTGCATAGAAGATAATTTTTACTAGGCCGACTAAATAATGTCGCTTCACGCGATTTACTCGTTTTATATCCCGCTGATCTTACCTTCCCTGGCCGAGGTAGTCGTCGCAAACGCTCTTCATTTTGCGTGTTACAGCGTAAGATGTCCAATTCCAAATAGTAGCTCCGTGGAAGCTAACATATAAGCAGCCGTAATGGCAGATCTGTGGATGTACCCAGAATGCCAACCGCAAACTGTAGTGTTGTGCACAAATCGATTTACTAATATGGGACAAAAATTTATTTTTACTCCTGAAATGATGGATGCAAATAACGATGGAATTCAATACTCCGTGTAGCCAAACTCTGGTGCTCTATTCAGGTCAAGATTAGTTTTTCCAAAAAAAAAAAAAATCGTACTATATTTACGAGAAAATGATAATTACACAGTTTTACTGCGGCAGGGAAGTCGCGGAGAACCCAAGGTTCTAATACAGATTAGGAATATTCTAGTCTCTAAATTACTGTTATTGATGGTAGTGCCGTATAAATTGGGAGTTACAGCAACTAAAAACGATTATATTACTAGAAATTACCATGTTTAATGAGACATGATACCGACGAATGACCGGGGAATCCTCATTTCTACTGGACAAGTCCTGGGATAAAAATTATATTTTTTATTACTTGAACTTGACAGGAGCAGGCTATGCGCCCGAAACTAATATTAGGCTGATGACACCTATATAGATAGCCGTTATGACGACAGAGACACGAATGCTTACAAAAAATATTCGTTACTTTACTGTATTACTCAATTTTGAGATCAAGTTTTAAGCCGAAAATTTATTCCACTTCTGAAATGATGGATTGAAACAACTGACGAATTTAATAGTCAACCCATTAAGTTCATGCATCTGCGACCAATAACTGGTTAACCATTCCTATATCCGACATGGACCGGCAACTGATTCGTCATATAATTGAGTGGATCCCAATATATATAATATACTGGCGTATATGCCAGCGCTGATAGTCAGCCAAATACATAACACATTTCTTTGTAAGTTACTAATAGTAAAATATCTACAACCCCCTAAATTTGGGAACACCCCTCCTCATAAAAAGAAAATCTGCGGTGAATACTAATATCTCCGTGAATTCATAGAGCTCGTCTGCTCCTACATTCCATTCTATATTGATATATTCTGATCTGTATTCTGCAACTCTAAACTACACCCGACTTTGCTTGCGCTCAAATACATACGTACATATATTCACACTTGCACAGTGTGAAATCATACTCAGCCGTTACGCAGACTCAACGTTTGCATTGACAAGCTGGGAAGCAGCTTTCCGATTAAAAATAATCAGAAGTTTTACTTGTCTTCGTCGGTATTGCGGCTGTGTTAGATTTGTAATTCACAGTTTTGATTGTATTTATATTTGTTTCGTAACATTAAGATATAGGACAATTATCGGGCACAAAATGGACATATAGATATTTTTGTTATTACGCTTTTCTCACTAACCACTGGACCAGTTGCTATGAAATTGTCAGTGGTTGACGATTGTATTTTTCGCCAGAAGTCTATTACCAATATTTATTTCAAATATTTCTGTGAGCTCCATGGAATTTGTTTTTTTTGTATTCGATGACGTCATCAAATATTGCTCACCTTGTGGCGGTTCTGCGTTCGCGTTATTCGTGAAGATTGCCTTGCCGGTAGTTTATTGTGACAGAGTGCATGTCTATACTATTTCGTTTTGATTTTCGTGTCCATATATTTGAGCATCGCTCCCTTGTTAATGTTGAAGACGGGGTGTATAAGCAGGGTTGCACAGTCGAACTTTCTGATGATTTCACCGTATTCGAAGCCGTATATGCAAGCCACCCGTAGTCGGTTGTAAATTTCCGGACGGCCCATCAGCGTAGTACAATACTACCGTAATATGAATATTGGTAGCATTGTCATTTGTACATTTGGTGAAAGGATTATTGATAGCGAGCCAGAAACGTCTGGATTTCAGTAAATCTTTCAAGAATAGAGTGAAATGGTGTCGGAAGCGTAAGTATTTATTTCTC